TTCCTCATGCTCCTCCTCCTCCTCCCCTTCCTGCTTCTGTTTCTTGATTGGGTTTATCTCCCGCTTGTTCCCCCATTCCTGGGAGGCTCCGTGCCTAACTGCTTGCCTAAATTCCGAAGCAGTTTAGACTGGGCTCCACCACGATGTCTTGACCCAAATGCTGAAGATACGAGGTGTGCAGGCCGTAGCACCTACCGATGTGTGCAATCAATGGCTTACAGCTGCTGCTTTGCTTCGCACAGCCCCACCCGGATCAGTTTTGGATACGAATGGCGCAAGTTACGTGCAGGAGCACTCTAGGCAAGGTAAGGATTCTGTGTACCACAAATGGGTTTGTAGGGCTATGTGCCACTGTGTGCCACTTTTTGGTGGTCTTCATGACAGGAATACTCGGACTGTGTGCTTATTTCGGAGTTTCAGGATTACTTTTGAGAAAGAAGCACCTGACGCTGAGCTTGTGGCCTTTCAGTTGGTCAATCTGCTCTTCGACCACCTGATGCATGACAACATATTACTTAGGTCAGCAGTCCCATGCCCGGACACTCGGTGTATACACTCACCAATATTTCTTAAGAACCGTATCCGCGCACTTGCTCAGATAACCCCGAGCGCGCATTTCAACCCGCAGGCCCACGATAGCGTACTTGTTCGTATGGCATGGCCATGGTAGCAATACGAACGAGCAATACCAAGCATTACTGCAACAGCACCTCTTGACAGCAAACATCTCTTCGTTCCTGGCTGCCTTGGCCTCCGCAGCACGAACCATTTCCTGCTCCTAATGGCAAGATGCTGATTGTGACTGATAACATTTCCTGAAATTTATCGAATCCAATCTCATCGGCCCTGGCAGCTTTGCAGATATCTGCAGGCAAGCGTTCTCAAGTGCCAGCATACTGTCCTCCTCAGGATGCAGGACACCACAGGCATCCCACACCTGGCTTGCACTCTGCTTGACATTATTGGTCACCGTGCAGAAACAGAAAGGAACTTGCAAGCTACAACTGCTAATTCTTGCATTGAAGAGCCACCTGGCGCGGGAAGGTGGTTGTCATGGTCTTCATCTCAGTGAAACTTCTGTTGATGCAGTCTGAGCACATCGCGCTATGTGGCACAAACGGCAGCCGAGCCGTGAACCATCGTAGATACCATCTCACGGACTTGGCCTCGCTGGTTGAGAAACCTCAGCAAGGAATGCAATCTGCCAAGCTCTCCAGCCTCATCTTGATGGAACATGGAGGGAGCCATTGAATTGCCAGAGCACTTTGCCTCTCAGGCAGCCACCCTGGGCTCTTGCCCCGAGGCCTCTCAAAGTTCGAGATACTGGACGAAGCCTCGAGCTTCTTGCGGCTGCGCGCTGCGCTTACGGCTTTCCCTCTGTGCAGTTGCTTGCGGCTGCTCTTGCCCGAGGCCATGGCTCTCGCCCAGCTCCTCACATGGACTCCAAGACCCCAATGTCAAACTCCAAAATGGTCCCCCTAAGATTTCTTCGGGCGGCATTCTTCAGAAGATACTATAGGCGTCCGCAGAGTCGTTCGACTACCTTTAGAAAGACTTCGCGGGTCACCGCCTTTGGTGCTGTCCAAGACCCTGGCACGCCCAGACATTCCCAGCTCCTTCTTCGCTCGCTTGTCACTACAGAATCTCGCGATTCACGCGACTCGCAGTGAAGAGGAAGTGTCAAGCCCCGGACTCTGCCTGGCCACATACCCGTCCAGCGCTCTTCTTGCTAAGCATGCAGTGCGCCTAGAGATTGAGACGTCGCGGGATTCCGCCTCAGTCCACAGCAGCCTGCTGACTTGTTCCCTGTGCCATTGTAGGATGCCCGCCCTACATCATCTTCACTTGGAAATACCTTGACTTTGATCTGAGCCAGATGGGTCCCTACAGTGACTGAATGTTCACGCCACGCCACTTCCGCGCAAACAGGTTTGAAACACTTGACGAGGACACGTCTTGGCACTTCCAGGTTCCAGTTGGCTTTGAATTGTGGGTCTGACTCTCGCTAGGAGGCTTCGGATTGCAAGCAATAAGACCACATACCTGCCAGGAAAATGTTGAAGAGCAGGAAGTGGCCATGCCCCTAAAAATGCTCAGGGAATTGCAGACTTGAAGCTCGTGCAGGTGCCAGCGGCCATGTGACCGTTTCCTTGGGTGCTCTGGTCATCTCAGCCACAAGATGCTCGTGTCAAGAAGCTCACTGCAGCACGTCAAGTCCGTGAGGCTCAGACGGGCCCAGTTTTGGGCACCAGCTCTGCAGCTGCAAGTTCTGCGAGCACAGGCGTTGTGCAAAAGAGATTCGAAGCTCAGTGGAGGCCTTCTTGCAGAGTTGTTGGCAGGGGGAGGTCCAACCTCAGACGTGAAAACTGCGCGGGATTGCCGATCCTCCATGTAGCGATGTGAAAGTCATAGAAAGGTCAAAAAGCGTAAGGCAGGAGCGACCCTGAGCTGGCTGTGGAAACCGGCAAGTCGACGAGATCCAAGTCCTGCAGGCTGCTTCGAGCCAACTCTGATTTGCGGATGCGCTACGCTGGCGCCTGTTCTTGGCAGGACAGGTGAGGTCCTACAAGCTTTCCGCTTTCAAAGGTCTGTTCTGCAGCAGTCCTCTTTTGATGAGGGTCCTTCATCAGGCGCATCATTGATGCGAATCGTCGCGTGCCTGTCCTGGCCAGCTGAATGCACCTGCAGCGCAGGTCACGTGAGGGGCCACACAGCCACAGCCACAATTGCTGGCATTTTGACGTGAAAACTCTGCCAGGCCAGCTGGCAGCTTGGGTGCTCGGGGCCGACGAGGCCCGTGTTTGCCTCGCGGCTTTTGGCTGCGAGGCAGGAGGCTCACCTTGAGGTTAAGAAACAGCTCCACGAACAACTCGCGACACACGCAAATCCATCCAAGTTGCGAGTTGAAGTGGTGCAGCTTGCTGCCTTGTCCTCAGCGCTGAGGCCTCGCCAAGACAAAACAATGGCTTTCTCGCTGACTTCAGCCTCTACTTACGAGCCTTCTTTGGGCGCAAGCTGTTGAGCCAAGGCATGTAACCAGAACCTGGCCGCAAATTCTCAGCGTCCACCAGTTCGCGAAAACGTTGCTTTGCAGCCTCCCGGCCTCCCGGCTCCAGGAACGCTCCATTTGAGCCATTTGGGTCCAGGCTCTGCCGGCCCGGTTCGACGATAAGTTCCTCAAAACAGCGTGCCACTGTGCGCTTAAGTGCGCCACTGCATTTTCGGCACATAACCAAGAGAGAAGCTCAGGAACAGGCGTAGTGGCGTGAAGCTTTGTGGACCTTGCTTCCAGCCGCTTTGTACATCTCCATACATTTGCTTCGGAGCCCTTGTGGGCAACTCAGGACTCAACCCTGGTCCTACCATCAGGAGACAGGTGGCCGCTTTTGGGTGCTAAGCGCTTCAGCCGTAGAAGCACGAGGGGAGGGTGCCTGCAATAATCTGTCTTGCGTGTCATGATGTGTGGTCTTGGCGCAACTGCCCTCCCGGCAAGTTCTGCCCATGCCTCCCAAAAGTGCTTGAGCATGACGTGAAGAAGCTGCCTGCCCAAGCAGCAACCACATGACAATGCCCACAATGGCCAAGCTTCCTGCTCAAGCTACGCTTGTTCTGCGGCCTCCACCCTCCAAGCCTCCAAGCTCATCGTCCACGCTCACCAGCTGTGAGAGACTACCTTCCGGGCTTCGAATTTGTGGGACGTGCAAGCTTCACACTGAACCATTTTGAGGAAGAATTGCAAACATGAGCCCCTGCTTAGCCTTCTTTTGAACTCTAGAGTTTGCTCTTAGCAAATCTTAAGAGCTTGTGCTCTCCGATGGCATGTGTCGCGCACGGCTGAGGGTTCCTGGTCATGCTTCAGTCTTGGCCTGGAGCTCCGCTTGCTTCCGAATGCTTCTGATGTTTGTTTTTTGATTGCTTGTGACTTTGTCATGCCTTATAGCTTGTGACGCGCTTGTGCTGCCCCGAATTTCTCGGGAGGAGGGGGGGGGGGGTCAAATCGCGTGCGACTTGATTTTCATGTAGTCGTGCTCTCGCCTGAAGTATCCTGACATTTTCCGAAACAGTAAAGCCCTTGGCCTTTAAGCTCCGTTCCCTCAACTCCTTGCTAAGCCCTACAAAGTCCTGAACACCATGAAGCCCCGTGAACACAAACCTTAAAAGCGCTACACTTAGTAATCGTGGAATCCTGAAAGCCCTAAGCCCTAAACCTTAAGCCCTTCAAGCCCGAAAGCTCCCCAAACCTTGCAGAGAGACACAAACACACAGGGCACAGCAAACCCAGACACCAGTATATTGGCTCTTATTCTATGTCTTTGTGAGGTCTCAATAAGAGTTTGGGGTTTCAGGGGCCTGGGTTAAGGATTTAACGTTTTTCTGGGCCTTCCGCTCAGGATCGAGCAGCTAGAACCCCAAACCCACCCAGAATGCCCAGAAATCCCCACGTCCCAAACAAACCCGAAGCCCTTGAAATAACCAAGACACCCAAAGCCCAAACCTCTAAACCTTAAAGCTCCTGCAGCCCTACACCCTCAAAGTCCTCAACAGTCTCTGAACCCCATTAACCCTTAAGCAAGCCCTAAAACATACAATTAATACACCCAAAAATCTAGAATCCCTGCAGTACATTCAAGAAAATATGACCTAAAACACCAAAGACACTCAACGTTTAAAACCCCTGAACCCTGAACCCCCCAAATCCTGTAAAAGCCCTAAACCCATCAGAAAACCCTAAAGCCCTGAACTCCAAAACCCTTAACCATAAACTCCAAGAGCCCTAAGCTCTAAATCCCCTAAACCTTCAATATCCTTATCTATAAAACCCCTGAACCCAGCCTCCTCCCCCGAACGTGAAAATACCCAAACCCCAGACATGCACCAATCCAACTCACAAAACCCAAAGGCTTGAAAAGACTGAAGATACCCCCAAAAGGGAACCCAAGACCCAAAACAATTACACACAATCCCTCAACCCTAAAAACCCATACACCTCTAAGCTCTGCCACACACGCTCTAAAAAACTTGCAAAAAACCCTCAAGCGGCAAAAACCCAAAAACCCCAAATAGCCTGACAACCCTTTAGACCAGTATGGGCACAGTGAACCCTCGTGGACAAATGTTGCAAATGAATCTCGGGCTGTGCGACGCAGCTTTATAGTCAGGAATCTAGTCACGAATGATGCAGGATATAGTGGCAAGTGATAGTTTTTGTAGTTACAAGTGACATTGTTCATTCTTGCAAGCGATGGATTCTTCCAGTTGCAAGTGATGCGTCGGCCGGCCTTCAGCGAGGTCAGCATCTCGCACCTGCGTACTGCACCTCAGCTAGCCAATGGAAAAGGCCACGAAACCTCCGCGTAGGCACTGCGAAAGCCTAAAGGCGTCTTGGGCCTTGGGCAGAAATGGACCAAGTCACAGTCTAACGAGTCTAACACATCTGAAATTTCCTGATTGCAAGTTGGGGACCTGGTACCACCCTCACTCCCCCTCCACACTTCTGCACACCTGCACTGACAGCATTGATTGCAGGATCGCGCTCGTCCGCACAGCATGTCACAGAGCGGTCAGCTATGCCAGCTATGCATCCCATGCTTTGAGCTTCTGCGGCCCCTGGGTGAGTTGAGGTTTTCATTTCTCTGCAGTGCGGCGTAACACACTAGCGTCACTAGCTTGTCACAGATGTATCAGATCACCATTACTTGCGGCTATGTCGAATCTTCTTGTACATCGCCTCGTGCAGCCTGCTTGAATGACTGCCCAGGCACGAGGACAGATCGTGGATAAGCTGAGTTCGCCCGGCTGGTTCACATCCTTTGGACCTGCAGCCCAAGATGGCCCCTCGCCTACACTTACGCTTGACAGGGCGTCGGGATAAGAAGCAGAGGTCCTGAGAGCTTGACGTACCCATGGGCCTCCTACGCTTTGGAACGTGAAACTCATCTACCGTTTTTGTGCGGTGTCAAGTTCTTTGCTTCGGTAGGGATACCCATGTGGCGCCACCAGGCAACTCGAGTGGCAACACGTTTGCATTCAATTTGCAACTCCAATGCTTCCCGGCACTTGGCAGATTGTACAGAACACTTGAGCCAGGATAAGAACAACGCTTGTAAGCCGGCATGCCTCAGCACCAAGCACCCATGACCTTCAACACAAAATGTCACCACGTCTGTCAGATTTCACAGCTGAGTTGGTCCTCGGCCGTGTCAAGTGAAACTGTTATAGCCATTGGAGTGACTTGGTACTATCGTGTAAGTCTGGCCTGTCTTCGTGCTGTCACCAAGACGGAGTTTCCATCATGAGTGGCAACTCTGACGCCCGAAGCTCGGACAGTTATTGAGACAAATGCTGCAAGAACTTGCTTGATGATGGACCTTGGTCATCCAAATTGGAAAGGCCCGTGGAGCATGGAAACATAAGGTCGCTGCCAAAGAAGACGCCGATCTGATGTGGGCCTTGCACCGACGCCACCTGGTCCACGTAGAGCAGAGCTTTCACGTTTCTACATGTACTCCAGCTTTAGAAGTATGTGGGACCTAATTGTTCGCCAAAGTTCACATGCAAGTCAAACTGCTAGCCTATTCACAACTTGCACCACCATGAATCCACGAAGCCAAACAGTGAAGCTTTTGAAATATTCTCCATCTTTGAAGGCCTGCGTGACGTTTATCACCTCAGAGATCAGCACAGCAGCTTACAATGACTTAAATGCGCTCATCGAGAATCAGGTGGATCTTGATGCAATGCATCTTGCGGAAACAGGCTGCTTGCAGCCGATACGCCGCACGCGGATTCACCATGTTGGCAGGAAGCGAAACCACTGAGTTGCTGCCGCTGTCGGCAACGAACAGCGTGTTCTCCTGGCGCAGTAGCAGCTCCGTTTGATAAGTCAGTTGCTGAAGCCCCCTAAAATCAAATATGAGTTGGGACGACTTTTCTGGATGTTGCGAAGTTGTTGCTTTGTTTCGATGGCTGTCCTTGTCATATGCACATCCTCGCGGTTGTTGCAGCCGCGCGACTTCCGCGACTTTGCTGGAACCGTCTGCCTACTCAGAGCTAGCATTTGAGCAACAGCTTACTCGAATCATCTTTTACTCAACATGCTGAAGAACAAGCACGGCTCTGTGCTCGGCCAGCATGCCTTCATGGCAAACAGTGATTCCCCGTCACCGGTGAAAAACACCTTGACTCTGGGAGAGAACCCAACTGGCTTGACACTTAAAGCAACCTAAATATCATCATCTACCATACAAGCAGAAAAGTCGAGAAAGTGGACACATCCTTCTTCCATGGCCACTATGTGTTAACTCGATAACTGCTGAAGCTTCCGGCATTGCTGCCAGCCAGGCAGACGTCTTTGACCATGGCCTGATTTGCGAGTTCAATGCAGCAAAACGAAGGGCCAGCGAAGAGTCTTGTGAATGTCGCCTGCTCACAGGTACTCTTGAACTGCCACTGCGCAGCTGCTTTCTCACTGAAAACACCCTGGCCTGATACATATCGCTTGTCCCAGAGAGGATCTTGGCAGACTTTGTTTTGGCTGGCCGTGCCTGCGTACGATGGTGCTGCTATTACACCAGCCCTGGCTGCGTCTGTGGACATTTGTTCCGCACCTTCAGCAGGGTGCCCGTCTTCTGGTCGCCCTGTGACAGTATTGCAAGTCAAGCAAGTGGCACATGGCTGAATCTGCAGCTTCAGTCAGCTTGCCAAGACCTAACAGCCTCATATTACATGAGGTTCCACACCGTCTATGCCCCAAAACGTGAGACATCGCCAGAAAGCACCATCCTACTACATTGGCCAGGTTGGGACTGTAGGGCCTTCAGGTTGGCCCAGTAAAGATCTGTCGCATCCACCGCAATGCCAGCAGGGCCAGCTATGTGCTCCATCTTCTCTGCGCTCAGCAGAGTCCTGCAAAAGGCTGCAAGATGTGACTCCGAGAATTCAAGCCAGTCAGCCCGTGTCCTGCCCTTTGGAACGCCCTTGGACATGTCCTGTCCAAATCTAACTTCAGCTGCCACATAGAGTGCCCTTTCATACAAGAGCCCTTCTTACTTGGAAATTGAGCCCTTCTTACTTGGAAATTGAGACAGCGAGCAATGAACGCAAGTGGCCTCCGAACTGATCATTGAAATCGCACCAGCCTGCAAGTGCAGAACGTGCAAGACCTGCCTCTCAAAGTCATGCTCAGCTTTCCGAGTCGACGTCCAGCCTTGGCATCTGTGTAGAACAGGTTGCCGTAGGTGTCTACAGCAAGCCAATGAGCGCTGTCCTGCAGAAAACGGGTTGCTGCGAACTGCAGGCACGCAAGAGGAAGCCACAGCAACACCATGAATACCTTCAGATCACTGGCTATCAGCTGCTGGGAATCTGCTTGAAGACCACGCCAAGACGCAGAGACCTTGACAACAGTTGTTGGTACTTGTTCGTATTCCCCCGGAAGCTGCTGCTGCCGTGCACCTGTCCAACTCATTCCAGGCTGTGCAGTCACCGCCGGTCTGTGAGCTTTGGAACAAGATGAAGTTCTGCCTACATCTGTTCCGTGGCACCGTCTTGTGCCTCTGTACAACGTGTTGAGGGGCTTGCAGGTGCCCACTTGATGGAGCATGAGCTGTGCTTGTCGCACAAATTTTGACCCTGCAGAGTCTTAAGCTAACTGAGGGGGACTTGCATAATGTAAGCTGACTTAGCCAGCCATCTAATTGCTCGAAGAACATGAAGCTGCGAGTTCAGCTCAGCTGGCCACTAGCCTTGCTGGAGGTTCCAAACACAATTTGCCGCAGCAATGTTTGAACAAGAGCTAGGTGCAGACAGAAGACGCACGCAAGCCCTGAATGTCGGTTCTGAGCTGCTTGAAGTCGGGCATGGGCCCTGCGCAATCGCTGGCCCAAGCAACTGCATAGAAAAGATCACCTTAGCGGCACACGGCCATGAGGCCTCGTGGAGCCTCAAAAGGTTGCTGTGTCCCAAGCCGTCGTGACAGGATCGTGACTTTTAAATGCCAATGTCTGAGTCAAGAACGTGTACAGACAGATGCTCTCGAACACAAAGGAAACAATCACATGCATCAGAAATTGAAAGAGCTTGGCAAACGAGCCACGTAATGCTAAGGGCTGTTGCGTTCACTGCCAGAACTCTGCTTCCAAGATGCCTAGCATCTTGCCCATCTGTGACTTGGCCTTCTGGGCAGATTTCCACTGCTTCCGGAAGGGTGCCGACATCACCTGGGCGGTCCCAGAAGTCTCAGCAAAGGTCAGCCAAGGAGAGGGCTAGCTCGAGGGCTCCGGCCTGGTCGAAAAAGCCATCCTTCAGAGCATCTGAGAGAAGCTGCGGCGTCAAGTTCTGACTCCTGCCATCAGGACTTACTAACAAGCCCTTGTGCAAGTGATGGAGCCTGAGCAGCAAGTCCTGTAAGCCGATGGTCTCAGATCCGAAGGCTGAAAAAAGGGTCGAAAGCCATCGGGAAGCTGCTGCCAGGGGTTCTTGTCAGGATTATCAACGCTGAATGCCTCTGAGGCAAGCATCCACAAAAACTGCCAACCGAACCATCGGAGCAGCTGTAGCGCTGAAGACTGAGCTTCTGCATCATCGTGAGCACAAGTTCGGATCAACCCGTAGTCTATGAGGGTCAACTTGGCTGCACCAGACTCCGCCGAATACATGATGTTATCCGGCTTCAGGTCCTTTGCAGCAAGCGATCTAACCCAAAAATGATACATATTGGCATATATTCGCATAGTGCTGCAACCCTTGACTGACTGGGTGCAGGTCCACATGAATGTGCAAACGCCCGGACTCATCAGGGTGCATCATATTCAGCTTTGCAGTAAGCAATTCCTCTAGCGTTGCCAAGGCTTCCGAGACATGGCGAATGCCATCCTCATGACGAAAGCGGTGAGCCGCAGAATCAAGTGTCTTGCCAAGAGCACGCTCAAAGACGGCAAACATCGAGCCATCTTTTTCAGGAACGTTGCCCACGCCAAGGCAATCGACGAAGTGGTTAGGGAAGCGTGCTTTCCTCATGTTGGCAACCCACACAAACATGCTGCAGAGCTTGACATGCATGGGCAGCAGACTTGTCACGTGTTCATCGAAACTGAGCGTCATAACCCGTGCAAAGGATGTCTCGGCCTGAATCTCGTTCCAGTCTGCTCGCTGGAAGATCTTCATGACCAGATGTGGTTTGCCCTGGACTTGATACCTGACAGAACGAAGTTGCCAGGGCAATCGTTGTACAAAACCAAACAGGACCCTGGGACAGCCACTTTTGCTGCCAGGGGACACTTCGCCATATGCCCCTGACCCCAGCTTGCAGTCAAAGTCGGGCAAAAAATCGCTCCAATCCACAGTTGGAGCATCCGTGATTTTCTTCAAGTCAGACTTCCGCACCTGTGCCCAGAACCCAAGCGAATCCGAATCCATGGAACGTCCCAACAAACGGCTGCCAACAGGCCGAGAGGCTTTCCTATCTGCGGCCTTGGGCGACAGAAGGGTTGGCAGCTGCTGCTCCACAGCTGGGAGTGTACTCGCCATGCCTGAATATGACACCGCTCGGTGCGGGCAATCAAAGGTTGCCGGCTACAGTTAAAGAACCGAAGGCTGAGCCTTCGAAGTGTCGATGCAGCTACAATCACACTGTGGTCCCTACGGGCATCAGCTACACCGCTGCGCTGGAGCCATTGGCAGCAGTCGTGCATAGCAAGATGACCGTGGTAAAGGCTGAAACAGAAAGAGTTGCCTCTTGCTTCGGATACGTGTCCCAAACTGAGATCTGATTCTTTAATGACCTTAGTGAACGCCAAAGCTGAGCCGCAAACCTCATAGCGATACACGAAGCCAACCTTGCAGTCACACGGAGACGTGCAAAAAAGACCAAACCTTTGAAAAGCACACACGTCAATTTTGAAATGCTGCTGCCACTGCGACCAAGAAACCTTTGGGTCTGAAATGTAAAGCAATGCAGATCCCCCGCCTCTCTGGTAGAGCCTTGGCTTGCAAAATGTCGCAAAGATGCAGTGGCCCACAAAGTCGCACGGCACCATATGGCCCATGCGCGAGCCCGGTTGGCTCTTCAAGCCCACGATCTGAGCGCTCGGAGCACGTCCAGCCCCAGCACCTGGAAATTATCGACACGAAGCAGACTCTTCGCCACATCATGATTTACCTGAAATTGAAAGCAAGCTCTGACCTCTCGGTCTCGCGACGTAAGTCCCCAGCTTGCTGGCTTTCCCGTCAATGAGAATTTGTGCATTTGGAATCCATCGATCCTACCGCATCTTCCAGTGAGGCAGTTCAGGTGGTTTTGAGTTGCCCAACAGACTCTGGACTGTGCCCTGCCTGCGCTGGCAAGGTTAGGTCGTGCAAGGATGGCAGCGGGGCCCACAACACATTTCGCGTGCTGGGAGAAGTGACCTCGAACTGTGAGACGTCTGGTGAGGTTTCCAAGTAATTTAAGGAGATGCAAGTTCAAACGCACATCAGTAAACACGGTAAAACAGTTGGAGCACAAAGTTGCGATGACCCTCCAGGTGTTGCATGCGTGATTCCACACATGTTCTCTTACTTCTCTCGATTTTTGGTTTGGTGGCCTTCCAAGAACCTCCGAATCGTTCGACAATACGTCAGGTGGCCCGAGAATCACCTATCATGTCATTTGTGCGATCTGAGATGTTGCTGCCCATGCTGCCCAGGGTCAATAACAAAGCGATCTGGCCTGCAACTCAAGACAGCTCAAGATGTTGAACTATGGCTTCTGGTCTGTCGTTTCCACATGCCGCACCTGTCATATCCACTAATCTCGCGAGAGATCAGCAGGGCCACCGCGGCCAAGCCACCTCGGTTTGCATAGCTTGAAAGTGTTGAGCTTGTTGTAGACTACCAGCTCAGCACCGAGCTTATCGAAGCGACTAGAGGTCCCAGAGCCATTTGTCGAATTGTGGTGGCGCCCTGGGAGTAGCTTCATGTTCATCACAATAGCTACCTAGCTTCTGCTCGCTGTGACGCCACAGTAAGTTGAATACCTCGGTGCCCTGCCTTAGCACCAGCACATGGAGGCGCTTCGGAAATCGCCTAGGACGCACGTGCCATACACAAAGGTTTCGGAGGCCTTGGGCATTTGGATCTAACGACTCTGCCCATCCGCCGCGTTTTCCCCTCTCTCCCAGAACAGGTCTGCCGCATCGTACGCTCTAGTCTAGCGCAGTGTTGCTTGCGCAGCGACGATCTTCAACCACTTTGCTATACTTTGCCTTTATCAAACGTTGCAGGGCATTGCTCCACTTTTGCCTCTGGCAACCGCTGAGGCGGGCCCTGTGGCAGCGCTTAAGTTTTCGGACGTTTCAGGTGGTCCGATGCCAAGTGCGACCTGCAGCCTGGGTACGAGTCCTGGAACGATTTACAGAAAGACGAGCCTCAGGCTTGTAACTCTCCTTCAACATGCCCAGCGTGCTAGCTCTAAACCACGCCATCTGTTGCCTAGGTGCCTGCAAGTTCCTACCACTTCCTTTTGGCCGGGGTCGACGCTGGCATTCATAAATAATATGAATCCGGGATGCAATCACTGCCTACAGGACACTGGCCCTCCGACCACTAGAGCGCTGGCCTCCGAAAGCTTCGTTGATGGTCGCGGGGGGAAGCCGCGCTATAGAAGTGGAGCCAAATAGGCAGATCTCAACCATTGTGAATCCTGCGCTCCCCGTGCTCCAGCAAGCCAAAGAAATAGATAAGCAAGCGCGCCATCGCGAGCTCCCGAGTTTGCCGACCCCAGAGGTGGCTGGTGACCATGCACTCACGGCTACTAAGGTTACTAAGCGGACATATTTGTGAATCAACCTTTTCAAGGTAGCAGTTGCTGGATGCAGACCAGCCTGCCAAGACTGACAAGCCCCAGGTGGGCTTGCTAATGAACACGCTAAATGCATCTGTCTGGCATCTGCCAACAAGCAGCACAACGCCTGGTCTGTCAGTTGGCATGATGGGGGCATGTCTGTACTTGGCACCCAGGATCCAAGTACTGGTCCTCCACTCATTCTCAGTCGGCCCTTTTGCGCAGTTCTGCCTGCAACAGCATACTGGCAGCAAATTTCAAGAGAAAAGAAAGACAGAGAGAGAGATAGAGAGACAAGCTTGGACATAGAGGACGAAATCAATCAAGCAAACGGGCAGACGATTAAAGGCGTAAGAGGGGAACAAAAACATCACCTTCATAAGGTCAAACATGCATCGGCGAACTACGCCGCAAAATGGCATGCGAGAAACATAACCGGCAGGATCCTTTTTTTTTCAGGGTGCGAGTCCGACGCATCCGTCGGTCGCGAATCCATCGCCGACACAGCCGGAGCGGGGGCGCATTCCGCACCCG